AAGAAAGAAAGAAAGAAAGAAAGAAAGAAAGAAAGAAAGAAAGAAAGAAAGAAAGAAAGAAAGAAAGAAAGAAAGAACGAACTGTTGGGACCAGAAGGCAGTTTGCAAATTCTTGTCCCCCTTTAGAGTTGATTCTAGAAACTGAACTTTTTTTATTCATATTTGTTCAAACAAAACAAATGGCCATGAGGATTAGGTAAAAGGTAGAGTTCATAATTCAATACAGAGAGGCTCAAAGGCCCACAGTGGCTAGTGCTGAAAGTAGAGCCAGGAGCTAATTAAAATTACCTCCTTAAAACACTCAGACACCAAACAGGGACCATGGCTGGCAAAGGGTAAGAATTCATACAACTCCTGCAAAGCAGTTACCAGGATGTTTGAGACATTCTAACCCTGAGGTTATATCCAAGCTCTGAAAAGAACAACTTACTTAACTTTACATCTGCACTAGTGTCTGGGGAAAAAATCTGACAGAAGTCCAGGTCTGGGGCAACTTCAAAATCAATGGTGATCACCTGGACTACTTAGTCTAAACCTAAAAGCCTTCTACATTTCTACAAGAACACCACAGTTTCTGCTGGAACAATAACATTTCCGTAGCAGATCTGTAAGGATGCCATATTTTGAGGCCTCTGTTTCTATAAATACAGAACTCACAATTATAATTTCTATTTCAGCAGCTTAAATGAGACCAATACAAAAAGGTTTTAGAAAGTTCTTCAAGTTCCCCGAAATTTGGACTGTGCTAGTAATTAACATCCCTTGTAAGATGAAAATTGGTCCCATTCAACCAGTAGACTACAGTTACAAAACAAACCATCTCTTTATGCTTTTGATCCTGTAAATTTAATTAAAAAAAAAAAAAAGCAGTAAAGAATGTGGACCAGGAAACGTCATGACACTGCCAAAACCTACCAAGCTTTAAGTCTACCCTCCGAGAAAGACGGTGCAATGCTCCAGCCAAATGAGCTACACAGAAAGCAACAAGCAATGTTTCAGAGTTCCAACTACTGCCTAAGATACTCATGTCTTTGATGTTTCTCTTTTACAATCCTGAAACTCAAAGTGACTGCTGAATTCCTTCTGATAAGAAAGGTTCTGTTCTAGTGTTCCACCCGCTGCTTGCTCCTATTGCTCAAGGATAGGACAACTTCTTGATTGTCATTATGAATCACTGATATCTATATTAAGAATAAAAGATAAAAACCTAAATATTGACTCAATGGTCCCTTTGTTCCTTCATAATTTATGTTTCTATATCTTAGGGTATCCACAGTCCACGTTATCTAAAAAGCATTATGAGAAGATTGCAAAACAATGAAACTGAAATTGCTTCAAGTTCCTAAAGAGCTTGTAGTGAGGTAGCCAAGGTCATGCCCAGCATGTAAGAGGCTTTCAGTTGACTCAATAGCACTACATACAGGGAAAGACCCATAATGCATTAAACACAAAAGACTGCAGATTCATATGTGGGAAGAGGCCAAGGAAAACTTTAAAATATATCCCTGGAACACCAAATAAATGTGCAGAGAGTAGAGATGACTGGCCTAAGACATTGTGTCACTTACAGGTTCCTTGTAAGAATAAGTGATTATTCTCCCAGAAAAGAAAATTCTAAGTTTGGTTTCAGAAAATATTTGTATCCAAATATATTACATAAATAAAACCAACAATGGCTCTTTTAGACTAGTGTTAAACAATCTAATGTGACACACCAAGCCTGATATATGCTCTCTGCCACTCCTCCCTCACCATCAGTCAGACACACATCTTCTTGATCTACCTCGTTTACAGAATTTCCACACCAAATTATGAATATACAATTAGAAAAAATGAACAGTCTACTTCAGAGTGAGTAGACCTTTCTGGGAAATATCATGAGATCCCTGTCTCTTAAAAAAGCACACCATGACACACACACTACCAACAAAGATAGACTGTCTGCCTTTCCACTCATGAATCCTACCACTAATGAGCCAATACAAACACTGATAAAGACCTCAGAAGAGCCACAAGTAATGCATCTACTCCTATCACATCTGGGGGTACTGTTCTGTATACACAGATGTTCTATAGACCTGTGTGCCATGGCATAGGACTCTACGCAGACCTCATATTTTCAAGGTTTTAATTTACTATACAGATGTCATCAAATAGACATCTTACAAGTCAAGAATTAACATAGCATCAGATTTTTACCAACATAAGAACCAAAATTAGCATTGTTACACTGACTGGCAGGTTATCATCCTTAGAACCAGAACCAATCTTGTCACACTGACTGGCAGGTTCTTGAGCTGGCCAAGACAACACGCTATTAGTTCACCTTGCAGCTGATAAATGTAAACTATCTATGGGTCTTCTCAAGCACGGTCAGCACTGGGGAGAATGCGATTATAAACATCTTGAGGACTGGCATTTTCAGGCTGTATATTAAGTTTTTGTTTTAAAATGTTAAATAAACAAAATCATCTTATTTATGTGATGTTTTCTATAGGAACTCAAACTAGGATTTATGGAACCCATGGGAATATGGCAAACATGAACAAATCAAGGTCTAAAAACAATGTTTACAAAACAAACTAAAATTCTGAAATTAAAATAGGCTTACGTGCTATACATGCTTTATGCTCTAGAGGTAAGTGAAGGGAGAAGTTTATCTGACATATCTGAGAAAGAAAACACAGATCAACTTACTTGTTGACTTTTTCCTGTTTGTATGCAGAAACTACACAGGGAATGACTGGACAAAGAGCAGAGGTGCTACCCAACACAAAGGGGCTTCCTCCCTCACAACATGGAAATATTTGAGCAGAACAAATCTTGGGACAATTACACCAGTAGCAAGCAAATGAATTTTAAAGATATGTGCTTCCTAGAGTCACAACTACCCACTCTACCCAGAGAAAAGCTAGAGTTCTGCCACCCAAAAATATAACCTGGAGTGTTGGAAGAGTGGTCTAAGCCTGGAATTGCAGCATTCAGGAAGTTCAGGCAGGCAGTTCAAGGGCAGCCTGGGGTACATAAACACCCATTAAAAAAAATCCCCAAGAAAACCACTTGTGTGCATTCCCTTGAGGTCAGAGTGGTGACGCTGTCATAACAGGGAACACTCCTCATAAAACATGCCAAGGCATTATCTGTTGCAGTAAATGTCTAAGACTGAGCAACACAGTCAGCAAAGTATTCAACCTAGGGGCAAGGGAGGTCAACAGTTTCTTAAAATAACAACTAAGGATCCAAATGCAATTTTACAACCATATTGTAAATTCTAATGGGAATTTACATTGGCTAAACCTCAAGCAAACTTGGTATTATTTTATCTTCAAGTGTCATTGCATGCTGAGAACCCACTAAATAAGGCAGCACAGACTCAGGTGCTTTGACAAGGATAAAAGAATAAAGTCTTTATGGTCTTTTCCAAGAACTTTATTCTTCTTCAGCAACTTATCAGTAGTGATTGCATATATCTGTTCAGAAAATCCTGGAAGTTTAAGTTACAAAAATCTCATGTGAAGGCTACATTTTTCAAACACTAGTCTCAGAAGCCTCCATGCAACTGAGTAACTCCTCTGCCAACAAATTTAAACCTTGAAACCACCAGTAGCACACGGGAGGATCACTCATGGACACAGCAAGTGTTAGACAGGCTTTACTAATATCAAGACAGAGCACAACTTAAATGGATTCTCCAGCTGCTATGCTGACTCCCTTGGGAACACTCCCTTCCCTGCAGGACAAGTGTCTATGTGAGAGGCACAGACTGGAGACTCGAGACACCTCA